TTACTCTAAAAACTGGGCCTGTCCAACAGAAGAAAAGACGAAAAATCACGGAAGAAAGTGAAGATTGTTTTCCCAGTCATGCCGTAACTTAGTAATTTTTCCATTTTTGTTTTTGTCGACTGTTCCGAGTCTTGAAAAAACCGTGAAAACTGCAATGAGTGCCTCGAACGACTTACTGTTAAGAATTGTTTAACCATTCTTTATGCAGCGAACTGTCCTGCTGGCTCGTACAGTTCTGTGAACCGGACATGCGCTCTTTGTCCTCTTGGTTCTTACCAGTCGTCTGTTGGCCAGATGGATTGCCTTCCCTGTAGACAAGGTTTCACCACAGCCTCGCCAGGAGCTGTTAGTGAATCGCAGTGTGAAGGTGGGCTATTGCTGTCTCCTACAACATTTATGACTCGTTTTCAGACTGCAGTGCAATCCTACTTTGTTGGTCAAATTATTTAAAATTTCAGTGTTAACAAGATTGTGAAATTAGTGTATATTTTTACTTTACTTTTAACATGACAGAAAAACCAGTTACTGAAGACAAAACAACCATTTCTACACCATCGGCAACATCGCAAAATGTTGAAATGAAGGTAGGTAGATTTTCTTATTTTTGGATTCGCAAGAAGACAAGAATTCAAAGCGATCTGGCTTTACAATAAACAATTTTTTTTCAATGTTCTTAGTTATAAACTGAGATGTTAAAACTTTACGATAGCGAAAGGAGAGCTGGCTAACAAGACAGGTTAATTGGAAGCTTCTTGTAATAAGGGCTTTGTAGTGGTACTAGCCATGCGATAGCCTCATCTTCTCATGTCTTTCATTTCTTTTATCAGACAAGTACCAACGAACAGCTCACAACTAAGATCCCAGGAGAGGCCAAAGAGCAGGGAAAGGCTGATGAGTTGTCTTGGAAACTTCCCGTCATCATTGTTTCATTACTTGGGGTGCTAGGTAGGCCAAGTACAATCCTAAACGTTTCAGTACTTTCTCTTCAACTGATATCTTGATGATTAATTAGCAACACACATTTTCAACCGATAGCAACCGCGCCTTGAGGTTCCTAACTCATTTGGCGCTTCTGCATGCAGAAGAAAACGCAAACATGCGAGGCTCATAAAACCGAAAACATAAATTGCGTAATTAATGTTCATAAAATCTTACCCTCTTTTTTAAAATCAGTGATACTCAGCCAAGAGAAAATAATGTCCCATGATTTTCTTTTGTACTCAGCCGAATTTGATTTTTGAAAGCTGGACTGCGAATTTCTGGTGTCTATCCATAATTTTTTTGGTGAACCTTGATGCATGATTAATCGGTTTTATTTTTGTTTCGATTCTGACTCGTGCCGTGTTTTAATCAATGCTAGGTGTCATACTTGTAGTATTCTTCATCTGTAAAAGACGTAGAGCGAGTAAGGATGATTCAAAACCTAACATAGAACCAGCACAGACGGCGCAGTTTGAGAATCAAGCCTACCTGGGTAACCGAGACCTCCGGATCATAAAAACGTTTGGAAATCCACTTTACGACTTCGCCGGACAAGAGCCACGAAAACGAGCAGAAGACAACGAATATTCACTTGCGGACGAGCCAGTGCAGGTTGAATTGAGTGAAGATGATCCTGAAGGATATTACGAAGACATTGACGCCCTTAAAGCCAAAGATTCTACAAGGGACTTTGAAAAAAACACTTTTGGTTTTGCAAACCATGGCTTTCAGTGAGGCAGCGATGGTTTATTGTGTTTGATCGAGAGATCACATGATCTCTTGTTTTGTTGATTTATACATTGTGAATTTGACTCCTTTTTTTCGGTTCGCTTTAGTCAGAAAACATTTTCACATTTGCTTTGTCTAAGAGACAGAAAAGGTAAAGTTTAGAGGAAGGGGTGGGTGGAATTCTTAACAGGCGTAAGAAAAGGATGCCTACGTGATGAAAAAAAAATATAACATTAGAGCCCCCTTCCCCTCCACATTGAGTAATTTTTTAGTAGCCCCCTCCTTTTCTAATACCTTTTTTATGATGTTTCGTTGATGAGTATAGGTTCCACAAAGCATTCAGCGAGAAAAAATACCTCAGTCAAAATGCTTAATTTTACATCGTGCAATCCGTCAATATCTCTTGCGAGGATGACAAAGGGAACGTTGTTATTTGACAAATCTTGTGTAAAAATATTTTTACTTGTTTTAACATTGGTAATCTTTTTCATTATTTTTTTTCCAAGTCGGTTTCTGCTTTTTGCTGAGTTATTGTTTTTTAGGGTATTTAAAAGAAAACCGATAGAGGCATGATTTCATCAATAATATTAGAGTAAAATAGTTTAATTGCTAAGTAAAATTTTCAAGAAAAAAAGATTGCAATAATTCAGTGGTTTTCGTAGAACAGTCAGTGGATCTTAAGAGAATTCTTTGAACATATTGATAAAAAGTTTCAGATGCATCTTGTGCGTTGAAATCTCATTTCTATTCCCGATGTCCATTTGAAATCAGATTGTGATAAGCGGAGCTCTATTCAGAAATTTTAACGCGGATAATTCGATGCAATTCAGAGGCTAACGGCGTTAGCTTAAAGCAAATTTCAGGGTTTGAGAAATCCACCAAGACAACTAAGAAATAATCTTTCCCCTCGCAACGTCGGCTGTGTCATTACGAGGTGAGGGCTAAGAGGTCTTTGGTCACATTCGACAGTATCATGTCAACACTGTGGCATGACAATTTGTTTTCATAGTGTTCAAAAAAAATGTTGCATAAAAAGAGTTTTCCGGGTATAAACTTCCCGACCCCAGCTGGAATCCCCATTAAAAGCGATCCACGCATTGACAATTAAAAGCATTTGGACTTGCATGCACGCAATATACCAAAAAAGGCAATTTGACGGGCAATCAATCAATCGTATCGTAAAGTTTATGGGGCGGACATTTCTCAGCTAATCAGAATTCGAATTGATGGAATTAAATTGTCGGAAAGAGGTGAAGATAGCTTATAAGATTAAAAATTTAAAAACAAAAAGCTATTGCAGAAAAGAACAACAATAACCACTCCAAATCCAGGGAGAATGCAATTGAGTCGAAGGAAATCTGAATTGGTAGAACGTAGATCGACATTTTGAAAACGAAGTGTTCTGGCTAAACTCTAGAATTGGGAGAATCTTTTATTATGTTAATTACGATTAAAGCCCCCTTTAGTTGGATTTAAGCTTTCGTAGTAAAGGTTGTACGGCTCGCCATATCATGTTACTAATTGCTTTGCCTCTAAACTATGTTCGCGTTGTTCAGTTGACACATATTAAGTACAAACAGGTGTGTTGAAAACATAACCACTTTTTCAAACGTGTGTTATTTTTTTACAAGCCTGAATTAGGTGAGTTTGCAGGATCAGTGAGAAAGTATTCGATTTTTTAGTGTCCCATTCGCCAAGCTGCATGTACTTCGGTTATGTACGTGATTGCATTTTGAGGCCGACATTACAAAACAGTCTTAATGTATCAAAAAAAGCGAGTAATGATTTCTGTTAAAGTCGATCTGCAGGCGGTATTCTGTTTGTTCTGTTTCTTATAAAAACGCGAAAATTACTTCCCAGCAGAGATTTTAATTCATATAGAAAGGCAAAAGTTTGTTCCTGCACAAAACAAAGTCGCCAGTCTGCAAACTGACACTACAGCACGATGTCATGTGGAATTTTACATTTACTCTCTGATTTATTTATTTTAATAAGTGTTAGGTAGTAAGCCGCCATCATAACGATTTAATTGTGTTGTAGTTATTGACAAACAGCAATATCACGACAAAGCTTTGTCCCTACTCAATGACAGAAGTACGTATGCAGTCTTAAACTCTGATGCTACCGGTAAAACTCAAATAAAGTTAAACAAAATGTTGCTTGATTTGAAAAAAGCTGGCAAACGTTGCTATGTTCGATTTCGAGAAATCTTTCACCTGGAAGCTAACCCGCAAATATGCAAGGAAGCTTTCTCGTAGTTTCCTCTTTACCTTGCGCATGCTCTTCGTTGCGCCGTACGTCATCGAGTTTAATAATAGGGACCTCTCATTAAGTCTGCCTGAGTCTGCACAGACCGGCTGTGGATTCATCTAAGAGCGCATTAGAGAGGGCTGCACCACTATGTTTCCCAAGTTACTTTTTGTCTTGTGCTTAGTTACATGCTTCGGGAGAACGAGGCAAACCGTTATCAACCCATCAAATCTCACCGAATTTGGGTAAGTTGCATTTGACAGCCATTTATACCGTAGTTTGGCGTCTGCCTGAATATTCAGTATTTTATTTATTATGTTTGCAAACCATAACGTTTCTTCAGCGCTCATTTCTTGCAAGTAAAGTTTTGATATCTCGGAAGGGTGATAAGAAGGCAGACAGACACACAGACTTGGAGTTTAATAAGTCATAGTGGCGGTTTGGAGATGAAACTTCCGCTCTTCTCATTTCGTACGGCTCTTTAGACAACGAATTGTTGTATATAAGAGATCAAAAACAAGAAACGGGATATGAAAGCAAAAAGCACATGTTGTCGAGGTCTAAAGCGCAAATAGGATCTTAACAGAAAACAAAAAAAGTTCACGGGCTTTTAAAAAATAATTGTAGAGCGAAGATACATATAACAAGCCACACAAAGTCCGCTTTAAATGAAATTAGACATGGAATTTTTCCCCTATTAATTGCGCACAGAAATCTAAAAAAATGAAAGAAACTTCCCTTCACTTCAGCCGTGAGCTTTTCGTTTTAAGGTAGATATGGTTGTGAATACGTCGAGGCCGATTCTGCTAGCGATGCGAGAAAACCGAAACTTGTTGTCGCAAAACATGATTAGGTAGGGGCCTGTTCAGGCTAGACTTCAATAGATCCCAAGGTATATTGAATGCAGCTTATTCGGAATTCAAAATGAGTAGTGTAGGAGTTGGCGGTTCGAGCTCACTTCATTAAAATGAGCTTTAACACGTCAACTCTTTACTACTTTCCTTATAATGGAAATATATGATGGAATCAAATGAATGAAAATGTTATCCACCGATCTTGTCATGTCTGGTAATTTTGTTCCATATGATGTTGCTGTAACAATATCCTTGTCGGGCCCAAGAAGGCCTGGAAATTCTCCAGTTTGCAAATACACTTGATAACTAGTTTCAAGTGTTACCAATACTCTGAACAACAATCGAACAATTTCCACCTCAATACTTGCTTTTGAATGCTTGTTAGATTCAAATTACTGTTGTATGAAGCCGCTGATATCACCATATGAAAAGTTCCCTGTGAGTAATGTCACGGTTGTCCAAGTAGTTCCACTGTCATAACTGTATTTGAACGTATTGTTGTTGTAATTTGCTGAAACATTGTACCAGCTGTAACTCATGTTGACAGGGTCGACGGCAAGATAATAATTTTTGTTTTTGTCGAGCGTCAATTGTGGAGTGAAAGTAATGGTGAAATCATGGCTTTTAGTGTTTCTTACACCATCACTTTGTATTCTGGCTAAACTCTAGGAATTTTTTAATTGTTTAGATTACGATTAAGGCCCCTGTTTAGTTGGATTTAAGCTTTCGGAGTAAAGGTTATGTGGCTCGCCATATCATGTTACTAATTGCATTGCCTCTAAACTATGCTCGCTTTGTTCAGCTGACACATATTAAGAGCAAACAAGTTTGCTGAAAGCATAACTACTTTTCCAAACGTATGTTGTTCACCTTAATCCTTAACTAGGGTCTGTAGGGTCAGAGAGAAAGTAATAGATTTTTAATTGTCCCATTCGCCGAGCTGCATGTACTTCGGTTATGTGCGTGATTGTATTTTGAGGCCGGCATTACAAAGCAATCTCACTGCTTAGTGAATCGGAAAAAAACAAACAAACCGATAATAGTTTCTAATAGGGTCGATCTGCTCTCGGTATTTTGCTTGTGATGTTGCTTGCAAAAACGCAAAAATTATTTCTTAGCAGATATTTCAGTCATATAGAAAGGCAAAAATCTGTTCCTGCACAAAACGACACCACCAGTCTGCAAATTTAATATCACGACAAAGCTTTGTCCCTACTCAATGACAGAAGTACGTATGCAGCCTTAATTAAACTCTGATCCTACCAGTAAAACTCAAATAAAGTTAAACAAAATGTTGCTTGATTTGAAAAAAGCTGGCAAACGTTGCTATGTTCGATTTCGAGAAATCTTTCACCTGGAAGCTAACCCGCAAATATGCAAGGAAGCTTTCTCGTAGTTTCCTCTTTACCTTGCGCATGCTCTTCGTTGCGCCGTACGTCATCGGTGTTTAATAATAGGGACCTCTCATTAAGTCTGCCTGAGTCTGCACAGACCGGCTGTGGATTCATCTAAGAGTGCATTAGAGAGGGCTGCACCACTATGTTTCCCAAGTTACTTTTTGTCTTGTGCTTAGTTACATGCTTCGGGAGAACGAGGCAAACCGTTATCAACCCATCAAATCTCACCGAATTTGGGTAAGTTGCATTTGACAGCCATTTATACCGTAGTTTGGCGTCTGCCTGAATATTCAGTATTTTGTTTATTATGTTTGCAAACCATAACGTTTCTTCAGCGCTCATTTCTTGCAAGTAAAGTTTTGATATCTCGGAAGGGTGATAAGAAGGCAGACAGACACACAGACTTGGAGTTTAATAAGTCATAGTGGCGGTTTGGAGATGAAACTTCTGCTCTTCTCATTTCGTACGGCTCTTTAGACAACGAATTGTTGTATATAAGAGATCAAAAACAAGAAACGGGATATGAAAGCAAAAAGCACATGTTGTCGAGGTCTAAAGCGCAAATAGGATCTTAACAGAAAACAAAAAAAGTTCACGAGCTTTTAAAAAAAATTGTAGAGCGAAGATACAAATAACAAGCTTTACAACGTTCGCTTTAAATGAAAGTAGACATAGAATTTTTCCCCTGTAAATTATGTAGAGAAATCTCAAAAAAAGAACCAAGAATTTTCCCTTCACTTCAGCCGTGAGCTTTTCGTTTTAAGGTAGATATGGTTGTGAATACGTTGAGGCCGATTCTGCTTACGATGCGAGAAAACCAGAACTTGTTGTCACAAAACATGATTAGGTAGGGGCCTGTTCAGGCTAGACTTCAATAGATCACAAGGTACATTGAATGCAGATTATTCGGAATTCAAAATGAGTAGTGTAGGAGTTGGCGGTTCGAGCTCACTTCATTAAAATGAGCTTTAACTCGTCAACTCTTTACTACTTTCCGTATAATGGAAATATTTGATGGAATCAAATGAATGAAAATGTTATCCACCGATCTTGTCATGTCTGGTAATTTTGTTCCATATGATGTTGCTGTAACAATATCCTTGTCGGGCCCAAGAAGGCCTGGAATTTCTCCAGTTTGCAAATACACTTGATGACTAGTTTCAAGTTTTACCAATACTCTGAACAACAATCGAACTATTTTCACCTCAATACTTGCATTTGTGTGGCTGTGAGCATCAGTTCATCATTTCCATGAAGTTCATGATTTGATAGTCGCGGTTAATGCTGATTTATTTTTGAATGCTTTTGTTAATTTTTTTGTTTGGTTATCAGTCAAAGTGACGCCATGCGAATGATATTGACTCAAAATTTATGTATAATGTATGTTATATACATTTCATTTAACATGAAACATATTTAATCAAAAATAACAAATTATTTAGGCTCTGAGAACAGCTTTGCCACTCATGACCTCAACACTGATCTCTTTTCATGCAAAATAAGAGCATACAAACTCAATCCAGCATTTGGAGCGCCAAACAGTGTACATTTGAGTTCAAGTTTGGTTTATCCACTTGTAAGCTCCTCCTCTTGGTTTGTCAAATCGAAAAACAAAATTCCATACAGACCCTGAAAAGACTTTAAATCAATAGTGGGTCCTGAGAGATAATCAGTGAATCCTTTTGTATAAACATCAATGTTCTGTATGTTTTGGCTATTTCAACTGTTGGATTCATTATTTCTCGTGGATAAAAGACACCATTTGACAGTTCAAGTTGGACATGTGTAATTGTTTGGCCGTCGGCAATATTGTGGGTATTAAACAGGAACATGTTTTCTCTTTCATCCATAAAAACCAATCTTGTGATAATATATCAGCCTGCATCAAGACCGGCTGCTGAAAAAAGCACAGAGAGGTCGGTTTAAAAATTCACATCAAACCTTACCTTACCGTTTAATGCTATTTGACCGAAAAAAGAAGTGAAAAAAACGAATCTGTTAGGCGGTGAGATGACGTTATTCCTTGCATCATCACCTGTAGAAAGAAGGGCTTTTGTCCTTGCAAATCTTACATGGTAATTAGCATTAACACCATCAACCTGTGTCTTGTTTGAGCTGTTTGACATCTCTTGTGTCCTGTGTCTGGTGTTTTGGTTGTTTAGGAGTATTGAATTTGTCATAAATTCTCTCTCCGATTAGCTGGATTGTTTTGTTTCCAACTTGTTCTGAGGGGAGGAAATATGTTTCTAATGTCTTAAAGGCAAATGGCTATACAAAAATCTTTCTCCGTAACTGCCAAAAACCAGTTACAACTAGTAACTGTCTTGATGAAAGGGAGCCAGCGACTGGTTTTGCCGTTATTCCTTACATTCAGGGCGTTTACGGAACACATCAATATAATTTTGAATAGCCACAACGTTAAAGTTGCTCAAAAACCTTTTCAGACTTAGGGGCATATTTTTGCCAAACCTAAGGATCCTGTCATGAAAGAACAACGCACCGACGCCATTTATTCTATTCCTTGCAATGACTATGACAACAAATACATCGGACAGACCAAACGTCAGCTTGGTACACGTTTGAAAGAGCATCAAAAAGCGGTTTTCTTTTGCAAAAAGGAAAATTCAGCTATATCGGAGCACACATGCCTAACCAAGTGTACAATTGGGTTGGATAATTCTAAAATTATCACCACTAATCGGCGTTACCACCAGCGCCTTTGTTTGGAGGCCTGGCATATTAACTTCGCCCACGCTCCTTTAAATCGTGACGATGGCGGCTTGCTTCCTGACGCCTATTTACACTTCGTCAGAAAAAAAAGGCAGCTAATTAGTGATCATATAAAAAGACCTTTTGTTGGAGCGTTTAGATCACCCCTGATGAAGGCATTAGACAGGGGTGTCGAAACGTTGGGTCTATGAATTGTAACTTCTTCGGTTACGTTCATTAAATCTGTAAACCAGAGTAGCATCAAACCATGTCTGCTTGTTCTGCAACTTTTTCAATGGCTTTTGTTGCTGCCTTTGAAGCAATATCCTTAGCAAGTTTTCCTGTCAGTTTGGAGGCAACCTTGCTTGCGACTTGTTTTGCAATATCGAAAATACCTCCACCATTCTGAATCATTTCAGTATTGCGCTTGATGGTGTCTACATTGTAATATACATTATGATCGTTCTTGTCTCTGATCCGTTGTACTCTTGAAATATATATCATGGTTATCTATTTCACTCTTCTTTCAAAATTAAAATTAGTGAAACAGGAATGTTGTCAAATCAAGAGGCCAGTTAATTATCTGTGAGATCTAGACGCATCTCTTTTATAATGTTTGAATTGATTTTATTGTATAAGGCTCTTTTAGACTAGATATGAAAAGAAAAACTGAGAGGTAAAATCTCTACAGAGAAACGATACAGAATGTCTGAACTAACACCAGGAACAACGCTATCACGAGTGACGTTTGTGAATGGAAATGTTATCCACCGATATTGTCATGTCTGGTGATTTTGTTCCATATGATGTTACTGTAACAGTAACAGTAACAGTAGTAAATGTTTGTCGAGTCCAAGAAGGTCTGCAAATACTTCAGTTTGCAAATACACTTGATAACTAGTTTCAAGTGTTACCAATACTCTGAACAACAATCGAACTATTTTCACCTCAATACTTGCTTTTGAATGCTTGTTTGATTCAAGTTACTGTTGTATGAAGCCGCAGATATCACCATATGAAAAGTTCCCTGTGAGTAATGTCACGGTTGTCCAAGTAGTTCCACTGTCATACATCACATCACCTTTTCTGGAGGTGTGTAATAAACCATACCATCAGTTAGTTTTGATTTGCCTGAAGATGGGTGTTTTGGTATGCTTGACAACTTGTTGAGGCTGTTGAACATCTGAACAGCTTTGCTTGAAAATCTTTTTGCTGGCTTGAAACGCTTTGTAAACAAATCAATCAAACTCTTATCACCACAGTCTTCATACACAACCTTTCCCCTTTTATGTGCCTCGACGATCATTTCATTCATCAACCGTGGCACATTAATCAAAAGACCACCATACTGTCCGTTGTTGATCTTGTATACATTTCTTTTGGGTTGCTTGTAGTTTCTGAGTCCTTTACCTGATTTTTCGTAGGCCTTATTAAGTCGATAAGCTCATCTAATTCCTTTCTGTATTTTATAAAAGCGCGTATTTCATTGTCAAGGACTTTTATGCCAGGATCATTAGGATAATATTGTTTCAATAATGCACTTTTTTGGGAATCAATGTTTGATCCTTGTCTTGAAGCATTAATTTTTACTTCTTTGAGTTTTATATAGTCATACCTGGCACTTCTAATTCCGATGGTATTTGGTATTTATACTTGCATATAATTTCTTTTTCATCTTCTGTCAATGTTTCATCTGGGTGTATATATGTCCTACCACTAGCATTCTCTCGCCTGGTTTAGATGATTTTAGATCAACAGCAACAAATGAATTTTTTAGATGATGAATTATCATCTTTTTCTCTTTCGCATACAAGAATAGCAGGTTCAGACTGTCCATCATAATCGATTTGAAGTGTTTCTCCATCATAACCAATTTGAAGCAATTCGCGCTGCAGTGTAAGGATGTCTCGGATGGATTCAATAGTGTCTTTTCATCACTTTGTCAAAGCTAATTGATTTTCTTAAAGCAGTTTGATGAGTTTTTCTTTTATTGCATCAGCTGCCTTGCTTCCTCCTGTTTGGGAATCAGTAGTTTGGTTTAATGTTTCCTCGGTTTCACATTGATATATATCTCTTCCAACACGGTGATCCTTGATTTATTTTGATGTCTTGTGTTTCAGAGAGTCAACTTGCATCCGTCTACCGGCTTTTCTTCTCGTCTTGAAATATCCACATATATTGGTGACATAAATAAGTGCTTTATGATGGTTACTCTCATACATATATTCAATGACGGTTATTCCATAAGATATATGTCAAACAGCAAATATTTTAATATACCCATATAATACAAAGATTCCAAACTATGATATTGATAACAAGCAAACAAAAAAAGCTTTAACAAGTTTTTGGATGAAGAGTATCGCATGTTAGTTTGCAGGCAATCAGGTTGTGGGAATACAAATACTGTGATGCATATGCTGCGCAAGCCATAAGTCTTTTTGAAAAAATATATTTACACACCAAATGGGCATCAAGACAAGATTCAAGATCTGAAAAAGATTATGATGGTTATAATGTTATGGAAATAAAAGGACGAGATGATATCATGGACACATGTAAATACCCCGACGGAAACAAAAAAATTGTTGTTTTTGATGATCTTCTCAATTTACTAGTTAAAATCCAATCAAAGATAGCCAAGATATGATGTACATCAAAAGCTGACATTAAACTACCGTCACATGATTCTTTATCCACCTGTAACCGAAAACCACTTTTATTTAATTAGCAGGGAAAATACGATCGATCCGAAATTATTCGAGAGATTCGGACCATATGAATTCCTGTTTTTGAATAGAGAAAATAAAAGCATAATGAGGAAGTTTGATGAAATTATGTAATCATATTATATAATTGCAAAATCTTATCGCGTGAGAGAAAAAAAGCAAACAGTTGCGTTCCAGGTATTGAAAGTAATGAGAAGACAAAAACAACAGATTTATGTTAAAATGCACCTGTGCTTCTTGTGGTGCCACGAGAACAAAGTTTGTCAAACATGTGTTACGGTATAATCTACAATCCTACAAACTCAACTATCTTATTAAAAAACGAGTAATAATCTTAATAAGGAGCAACTCCTAAAGGCAGTACAATACTTATCGTGGATAAACTTGATTAAGCCCACTACAGTCTATATCTCAGGTCACTCACACTCACGCCAAACTCACAGTTTCCTCCAACGTCTCTTGAAATTAGCAATCTTAATGTTAAAGAAAGTTCTATGGTGCGCATGTCAGCATGACTAAGCAGTTTGACTAACCCATTGTATCAAAGAGGAGATGGGATAATTGATAAAATTTTGAAACAAGCAAGCTTTTTAAAAGTTTATCTGATGTACCCAAAGTCTCATTATGTTTGAAAGACGCTTTCAGCGGACCTACAATGTCAAAAAGTGAGACCCAAAAAACTGTTGCTGAATATAAAATAGAATATAAAAAGACAAAAGAAATGTATACCGAGGAATTTTACTGACTGGGCTTTGGAAAAAGGTTACGCTTGAAGACCAAAATATAAATATCCATTAAGCAATTGGGAGGTTACCAAAACTAAAAAGGTGGTTGAACCTTACCAGGTCATAAGTAAACAGGTCCGCACAATGATTTAGAATTACACTGGAGGACCGAAATATAGATATCTATTTGGGGGTGCTTTAGATATTCACAAAGCAATTGGGAGGTTACCAAAACTAAAAAGGTGGTTGAACCTTACCAGGTCATAAGTAAAGAAGTTAAATATAATTCCATCAAATGAAATACTCCTTGAAAAAGGAACAGCTTTTTGATATTCGTGACTTAAAATTTCACAACTTTATGTTAAAAAAAAAACTTCGAGACTTTCGGGATTCATTGAAACCGCAAAAGCAGTGTACTTCTATTCTTAGCTTTTGCCCAAAGTTATAAAGCTTTAGGGAGACTGTTTTAAGAAAAGTTCTTGCGGCTTGAAAATAGCTTGAACATTATAAAAAATTTGGCGTCCACTTGATTTCTTTAAAAAATTTAATGTATAGATTAATTTGGAATGGCTAGGTCTACAGTGGAGGGCAAACTTGTCGCAGAGTGTTTTCAAATTTTTTATTTTCTCAATTAATTTCTTTTCTAATGGAATCTGAGCCCGATAGATCGTTACATTCACGATATTTGCCTTTTCAAATCTTGTCAAGTGCATAGAGTGTTTGTCGATTTCTTACGAGAATGTGTTAATTACGTGGCTTCACACTTATCGCCGTTAAAACGAAACACCTATATTCTTTCCCAGTTCTTTTAAATCTAGGATTCAGAACTACACTACAGTTTTAATACCAAGAGAAGATAATGGGACCGAAAGGGGCACTGGAAGAATCAAGACGTAGACCAGAATATGTTGATTTAATCCAAGTTACTTTAGCTTAAGGCGGAAAGAATTGTGGTTTCCTAATGTAGTTTCTTTTTGCCGAAGTCAGTTTGATATTAAAAGAACCATTCTCCTCACATGCAACTAAAATTTACTCAGAGAGGACGGACGTGTTTCACTTTCTGTGAGCGAAAGGCCACAGACTAATCGGTCATAGACGCGCACATGAATCAAAATTGGCCAGCCGCTCTTTTTTATGGTTTTGTTATATCCATATTATGCGATAGCTAACTCCACCTCTTGGCGGTTTCAAAGTACGCACATGCGCAAACATGTGACTGTCTTGTATCTTGCAGGCAAAACGTTTGTTCCAGGTATACAGTGCAGGTTGAGGTTTACTACACTGTTTCATCAAGGAAAACATACAAACGCACCACAACCAGTTGCGGATGGATGGGTTGGGGCAGATGCGACACAACCAGGTCAGTAAATATATTGTAAAAGAAACAAATACTCTCAAAACTAAGCAGCTTTTGTACCCATCAAAATGGATATATAAAATGATGACTATAACTGCGTTTTAAGATTCCACATACCGTATTTACTTGGCTATAAGCCGATCCCGGCCATAAGCCGAGACCCCAAACTTCCAATTTGTAAACTCAACGGCATCATCACGAAAAATTAAATCAAAACATTCGGCTATGAGCCGAGACCTATTTTAGAACACAATGTTCATAAAAAGACAGAGACTTCACCAAAGAAACACGCTGATTGTCATGAATATTCAGAAGGATCGAAAAGTATAAGAAAGCACGATTGACCTCTCCGGAAGCACACGTCGAAAAAGTTTTGTTTTAGGAAAAATCTCGGCTATAGGCCAAACCCCCTTCTACAGCTCAGATTTTACCAAATATTAGCGTGAATTTGTATAAAAATCGCTCGGCTTATAGCCAAATAAATACGGTAGTAACCCAACCTTTCGAAAACTTGCCCAAAATGTGCAGACGGTGTCATTTTGAGATTTGCACAGCAACCTAACCATGGTTTCGTACTTAGACCCTCGCCGGCCATTCAGTGGTATGGTCCCTACAGTTTATTAATAAGGGTACGATCTGGGTAAGAGATTGACTTAGCCTCTTACTCGAATTGTAATAGTCCTCTTTTTCATCTAACCGGCTTGCCTCCCGCCAGCTGAAATTTGTATCACTTCTATTCCTTTCAATCCATGTGTTTAAGTATTACTCAGTTTTACGGTTTTTCCAATTTCAATTAAATTAAATTATTTCAATTTAATTAAAATTTCAAGCCTATTTCATTATAATCTGAGCTACTCTCGTAATTCACTGGACATGTGATAATCTTCCAGACCAATACAAAAGTACTACGCTGTCCAAAGAACCAGAAATGTCAGTGTGACAATAATTTACTGCTGTAGTGGATGGAAGATAAGCCACTCAAGCCCAAGGGAATGCACCAAAGGTACATTAACTTCTCGAGTAACTTTCATATTTATGAAATTTTCCATAGCCGCCTATTTCAAAATTTATCCAATGAACTATTTTGCTTTTAGTGATCTGCTCTCAGGGTTGTGATTCCAATCACGGCTTTTGTGTCGCACCAAACAGGTGCCGATATTCTCCGGGATGGGATGGGTCTGCCTGTGGCGATGCTACTCTGTATTTACAGAACATGCATGTCCTGATATTATCAACGTTTTCCTCGTCATCTTTCCCGTCTTATTCATGGGTGCATATCATTTTGATAAACCATAATATACTCCAACCAGTTTTCATTTGTCTTAAGACGAGTACAAGTCTGGAGACAAAAATCCCATGTATGCCTTATTTATAGGTAATTTAAGGAAGGTTGCATAAAATCAACTTCAGGAACATAAAATCACCTTCAGTAAAAAAAAGACTTCAGGAACATGAAAACAACTTCATTTGATTTGTGACCGTCTTAAAGAATATAATTGTTGTGACTGCATATGAACCAGGTAATGACTGCATATAAGTTTGGAGACTCTAACATCTACCACACAGACCTGACTATGGGCCGAATAAACCATCGACTCATCGACCAACCCATCAGTTCATTTCTCCTTTGCTTACATAAATATCACATTTTTACATATGTTTCAAAGTAAGGAACCCTTCATATTCATTTCCACAACTGATTGCTGATCATAGAAAAACGCGTTAACTTTTAAAATGATCGACGATATCCATTCACAATCTTGTAAAGTCGGTTTAATGGAAGTTAAGGTGGAGGTAAAGTTAGGAGTTGCAGTGTCTTGTGTTTTTATACATAGATGACAATGAATGTGCCACCAGTAATGGTGGATGTGACCAAAATTGTGTGAATACACCTGGTTCATATCAGTGCAGTTGCAACATTGGATACACTCAGCACGGCCACAGATGTCAAGGTATGATCTCCATCATGACGTTCAGCGATGGTCATAAAGATATCATATTTCAAAAGTGTTGGAAGAGGAATGATTTTTTTTCACTGAGATAACTCACTTAGTACGTGTTTTCAGTAAATAGTTTGGAGAAAATTATAGTCATAAACCATCGACTCATCGACCAACCCATCAGTTCATTTCTCCTTTGCTTACATAAATATCACATTTTTACATATTTTTCAAAGTAAGGAACCCTTCATATTCATTTCCACAACTGATTGCTGATCATAGAAAAACGCGTTGACTTTTAAAATGATCGACGATCTCCATTCACAATCTTGTAAAGTCGGTTTAATGGAAGTTAAGGTGGAGGTAAAGTTAGGAGTTGCAGTGTCTTGTGTTTTTTTTTACATAGATGACAATGAATGTGCCACCAGTAATGGTGGATGTGACCAAAATTGTGTGAATACACCTGGTTCATATCAGTGCAGTTGCAACATTGGATACACTCAGCACGGCCACAGATGTCAAGGTATGATCTCCATCATGACGTTCAGCGATGGTCATTGAGGTATCACATTTCAAAAGTGTTCGAAGAGGAATGATTTTTTTTCACTGAGATAACTCACTTAGTACATGTTTTCAGTAAATAGTTAAAGAAAATTATGGTCAGGGCAGCCAGAGCGACATCAGAAAAGCAAAATGCTATCCAGCTGCTTGCTTCTTTAGCACCTCTTTTGTCTTGCGCAGTATCACTGTTGTAAGACTGACAGCAATATTACTTTTTGTTCTCAGATATTGATGAATGCCTGTCAAGTAATGGTTTCTGCGACCACTTGTGCGTTAACACTGCGGGATCTTATCACTGTAAATGTCCCGCAGGGTTCATCTTGGATTCAAATGGAAGATCTTGCTCGGGTATGTCACTCCTGATGAAAATGAATGCAAGTTTATTTGAGACAGCGGAGGAGCACAGGCAAATGTTTGCTCTTGTTGTCACATCCGTCTTCGTTTACACCCTTATGTAAACCTCAAGGTCAGATTCCCCATGAAGCCTCATACAGGTATTGAGTTGACCAATTCTTATTAGAAGCGCTCAGGATAAAACGGCTTGTTTATGTTACAGATCATGATGAATGTTTGCTGGGAAAACATGGCTGCCAGCAAAAGTGTAACAATTATCATGGAGGTTTCTACTGTTCTTGCAACTTGGGATATGAACTCAACAAAGACAACAAAACTTGTTCAGGTAAAAGGCCACTCATCTTCTTACCATGGCCTCTTAGTTTTGAAAAGCACATCTTGCCACCACCTTTCTTGCTAATTCGCCAAGGAAATAGTAATTGCTTTGCGCAGAGGTCATTACTTGATGGCTGTTTACTTAATTTGTAGTTCACACTATCCATACAAATTCAGCTTTTCGAATGAAATTTATTCCTCGGGGAACCATGTCTTTTGTTTTTTTAGATGTGAACGAATGCACCCCTGTGTTCGTTGAGAGCCTTAACAAAACTGTCATCCCAGCAGGATGTGATCAAATCTGTCGCAACACTCAAGGGAACTACACCTGCAGCTGTCACCTGGGTTATCAACTTCTGAACGATGGAAAGCGGTGCCGGGGTAAGACTGTCCTATATTCCTTTGTAATGCTGCGGAACATGAAAACAACTTCAGTTGATCTGTAACTGTCCTAAAGAATATAATTGTTGTCTATAATGACTGCATATACGTTTGGGGACTCTAACATGTATCATACAGACCTGACTATGGGCCGAATAAACCATCGACCTATCGATCAACCCATTTCAGTTCATTTCTTCTTTGCTTACATAAATATCACATTTTTACATATGTTTCAAAGTAAGGAACCCTTCATATTCATTACCATAACTGATTGCTGATCATAGAAAAATGCGTTGACTTTTAAAATGATCAACGATTTCCACTCCCAATCTTGGAAAGTCGGTTTAATGGAAGTTAAGGTGGAGGTAAAGTTCGGAGTTGCAGTGTATTGTGTTTTTATACATAGATGACAATGAATGTGCCACCAGTAATGGTGGATGTGACCAAAATTGTGTGAATACACCTGGTTCATATCAGTGCAGTTGCAACATTGGATACACTCAGCACGGCCACAGATGTCAAGGTATGATCTCCATCATGACGTTTAGCGATGGTCATCAACGTGTCACATTTCAAAAGTGTTTGAAGAGGAATGATTTTTTTTCACTGAGATAACTCACTTAGTACATCTTTTCAGGAAATAGTTGGGGGGAAATTTATGGTCAGAGCAGCCAGAGCGACATCAGAAAAGCAAAATTCCAAGCAGCCTCTTGCTTTATTAACTCCTATATTTGTCTCATTGCGCAGTACCACTGTTGTTAGACTGACAGTAATATTACTCTTTGTTGTCAGATATTGATGAATGCCTGTCAAGTAATGGTTTCTGCACCCACTTGTGCGTTAACACTGCGGGATCTTATCGCTGTAAATGTCCCACGGGGTTCATCTTGGATTCAAATGGAAGATCTTGCTCGGGTATGTTACTGCTTATGAAAATGAATGTTAGTTTATTTGAGACAGCGGAGGAGCACAGGCAAATGTTTGCTTTTTTTGTCACATCCGTTCTCGTTTACACCCTTATGTAAACCTCAAGGTCAGATTCCCCATGAAGCCTCATACAGGTATTGAGTTGACCAATTATTATTAGAAGCGCTCAGGATAAAACGGCTTGTTCATCTATGTTATAGATCATGATGAATGTTTGCTGGGAAAACATGGCTGCCAGCAAAAGTGTAACAATTACCATGGAGGCTTCTACTGTTCTTGCAACTTGGGATATGAACTCAACAAAGACAACAAAACTTGTTCAGGTAAAAGGCCACTCATCTTCTTACCATGGCCTCTTAGTTTTGAAAAGCACATCTCGCCACCACCTTTCTTGCCAACTCACCGAGGAAATAGTTATTGCTTTGTGCAGAAGTCATTATTTAATGGCTATTTACATAATTTGTAGTTCACACTATCTATACACGTACAGCTTCTCGAATGAAATTTATTCCTCGGGGAACCATGTCTTTTGTTTTTTTTTAGATGTAAACGAATGCACCCCTGTGTTCGTTAAGAGCCTTAACAAAACTGTCATTCCAGCAGGATGTGATCAAATCTGTCACAACACTCAAGGGAACTACACCTGCAGCTGTTACCTGGGTTATCAACTTCTGAACGATGGAAAGCGGTGCCGGGGTAAGACTGTCCTATATTCCTTTGTAATGTTGAGGAACATTAAAACAACTTCAGTTGATTTGTAACTGTCCTAAGGAATATAACTGTTGTCTATAATGACTGCATATAAGTTTGGGACTCTAACATCTACCCAGGCTACAGACCTGACTATGGGCAGAATGAACCATCGACCTATCAATCAACCCACCTGTCCGCTCTCCTAAAGAAAAGTGTGTCCTCTATTCCTTTGTAATGTTGAGGAACATAAAAAAAAATTCAGTTGATTTGTTACTGTCTTAAGGAATAAAATTGTTGTCTACAATGACTGCATTTAAGTTTGGAGACTCTAACATCTACCCTAGTTACAGACCTGACTATGGCCCGAATAAACCATCTACTCATCGATGAACTCATTTGTTCATTTCTTCTTTGCTTACATAAATATCACCTTTTAGATATATGTTTCTAAGTAAGGAACCCTTCATATTCATTTCCACAACTGATTGCTGATCATAGAAAAATGCGTTCACTTTTAAAATGATCGAGGATCTCCAATCTTGTAGAGTCGGTCTAATGGAAGTTAAGGTGGAGGTAACGTTAGGAGTTGCAGTGCCTTGTGTTTTTATACATAGATGACAATGAATGTGCCACCAGTAATGGTGGATGTGACCAAAATTGTGTGAATACACCTGGTTCATATCAGTGCAGCTGCAACATTGGATACACTCAGCACAGCCACAGATGTCAAGGTACAATCTGCATCATGACGTTTAGCGATGGTCATAAACGTATCACATTTCAAAAGTGTTTGAAGAGGAAATTTTTTTCACTGAGATATAGAGGGTCAAAGAATGTTTTTCGATAAGGAACAAGTATCTTTGTGCTGCCAGATTTTAAGATTTTTTTTCATTTTCGGGATGTTTTAGTACTTTGGCAACATTAGGACTTCTGCAAATGCCAAAAGTTCTCCTTATTTTCCATTTTATCACGAGCCGCATTTGGATTCATTGATTTCTTAAACGAGAAAGAGACAAAGTTTAAGCCTCCGAAAGCAATGATTCCTTTTTAAAACAAAACTGTCTTAATCATTCACACTTCACAATCTACTTGTAAGCCAAGTAATCTATCCGTAATCACCGTCTGTCTCATTTTCAGACATCGATGAATGTCTCACTTTATTACCAAGACCTTGCAGTTGTGGGGTTTCTGGAGAGCCTTGTGGTGCAAACTGTGTCAACCTCGTTCCTGGCTACAAGTGCACCTGCGCACTAGGGTTTCAGCTCCGAAGTGGTGGAACCATTTGTGATGGTAATTTTGAAAACAATCCATTGCTTATTTGTCAGGTGAAAGAGAATTGGAGATGGCTTGTTCAGGGTGTCCATGAAAATCAGTTTAATGTTGAGGAAATTTTGACGGTGTCTTGAGTCTCTATGTGATATAAATATAGATATTACGTGTGTTTATCTTCAAGATGTCAACGAATGTTTAACAGCAAATGGAGGATGCCCACAAACATGCCATAATAAACCCGGAAAGTTTTCATGCGGCTGTTTTAATGGCTTCAAACTCATTAGCGGGAACATCAGTACTTCCTGCGAAGGTAAGATAACTCACTTAGTACATGTTTTCAGGAAATAGAGAATGGGAGAGAATTTATGGTCAGTGCAGCCAGAATGAGATCAGAATAGGAACATGCCAGCCAGCTGCTTGCTTTATTAACTCCTATATTTGTGTCATTGCGCAGTACTACCATTGTAAGACTGACAGCAATATTACTCATTTTTGTTAGATATCGATGAATGCCTGTCAAGTAATGGTTTCTGCACCCACTTGTGCGTTAACACTGCGGGATCTTATCGCTGTAAATGTCCCACGGGGTTCATCTTGGATTCAAATGGAAGATCTTGCTCGGGTATGCTACTCATAACGAAAAGGAATGCAAGTTTATTTGAGACAGCGGAGGAGCACAGGCAAATGTTTGCTCTTTTTGTCACATCCGTCTTCGTTTACACCCTTATGTAAACCTCAAGGTCAGATTCCCCATGAAGCCTCATACAGGTATTGAGTAGACCGATTCTCATTAAAAGCGCTCAGGATAAAACGGCTTGTTTATGTTACAGATCATGATGAATGTTTGCTGGGAAAACATGGCTGCCAGCAAAAGTGTAACAATTACCATGGAGGCTTCTACTGTTCTTGCAACTTGGGATATGAACTCAACAAAGACAACAAAACTTGTTCAGGTAAAAGGCCACTCATCTTCTTACCATGGCCTCTTAGTTTTGAAAAGCACATCTCGCCACCACCTTTCTTGCTAATTCGCCAAGGAAATAGTAATTGCTTTGCGTAGAGGTCATAACTTGATGGCTATTTCTTAATTTGTAGTTCACACTATCCATACACGTACAGCTTTTCGAATGAAATTTATTCCTCGAGTACCATGTCTTTTGCTTTTTCAGATGTGAACGAATGCACCCCTGTGTTCGTTAAGAGCCTTAACAAAACTGTCATCCCAGCAGGATGTGATCAAATCTGTCACAACACTCAAGGGAACTACACCTGCAGCTGTAACCTGGGATATCAGCTTCTGTATGATGGAAAGCGGTGCCGGGGTAAGACTGTCCTATATTCCTTTGTAATGCTGCGGAACATGAAAACAACTTCAGTTGATTTCTAACCGTCCTAAAGGATATATTTGTTGCCAATAATGGCTGCATATAAGTTTGGAGACTAACATCTACCCTACAGACCTGACTATGGGCCAAATAAACCACTGACCTATCGACCAACCCACCAGTCCGCTATCCTAAAGAAAAGTTGTGTACGGATTGAATACTGCTCAGTTACAGATCGCTGATCATATTCGTTTTACTTCACAGATGTGAATGAATGTAACACAGGTTTCCACTTTTGTGAGCACAAGTGCCACAACACACCTGGGTCTTATGGCTGCTCATGTTTCTATGGCTACAGACAAAGGGCCGACATGCGATCCTGTGAAGGTAGGTTATGCTATGCGACTGCTACCTCAGACAAATTTAGCTCATTTAAGTTGTTCTCAGAGTCTATCAGAGAGTACGAGACCTCGGAACAAATGTTGTTTAGCAACAGGTACAGAGGAATTGGGCCCTCAGGAATCTGTAGACATCTATCATTACCAAGCTTTCAAATTTCATTTCCTCACCTCAATTAGGACTTCCTTGTGAGGAAATGTTTGCCCCACCTCATGGTGACATGACCTGCAGCGGATTTGTCACAAATGAGACCTGTTGGTTCACGTGCGAGGATGGATATGAAATACAAGGTTCTGAAAAGAGAACTTGCCTCAATTCTTCAAAGTGGGACGGACAGAAAACGTCTTGCAAAGGTAACAACAATAGTTGTTGAATAGCCAGCAGATTCTCAAACTTTTAAGTTTTCCTTCTCCTTTTCCAGTCACGTTTCTTTCTACGATATCTTTTCTACACCAAATTTGCTTGTTACTCTGGCAAATCTCTTTGTCTATCATCTCCTGTTATACCATCATATTTAACAATAGATATATGTTTTCTTTGTGAGATGTTTGTAGTGCAAGATTAGCAAGTAATTACTTGTATCATTAGGATGTTCCCACTTACATTTTCATTCCATTAATACTCACGTTTTTGTTCCTTCCATAACTCAATATAGTGAGAAGTTGTGGTCGACTATATCCACCAGAGAAAAGCATGGTTTTACTTCCCTGTCACGTGACGTTTGGTTCCACCTGCATACTTGACTGCGTAGAAGGATACGTTGCATTTGACCGCAAAATTGCAACGTGCCGGCTGACTAACTCCAGCGACGTAGCATGGGACATAGGAAACTTCACGTGTGAAGGTATGTGTTGTCAGTAAGAAATGGGCATTGACTGAAGAATTCACATCGTAGCAACTACGAATGCTAAACTCCTGCTACCCTTTCCCTGAATATGTCATTCCTCCGAGCACTAGAAGTAATCAGTGATCTGTTAGTTAACCCATTTGTTAAGTATCTTGATTCATTTCTGTTTCTGTTTTAATTCTACCTAGAGATAATCCTTTGCAAACCCAGTCCCTGTCGGCATGGAGGAAGATGCATCCTCATCGATTCACAAACGTTTTCATGTGATTGTCAGAATACTGGATATGAAGGGGATCTCTGTGAACGAGGTGTTGTTACACCTCCTGATCTCCCAAAACTAATTCCTGGAAGGCCTTCTGAAGATCTTTTATTACTTGCAAAACCTGACAATGTATTGACTGTATTCTTCGATGCAACCCTGAAAATGACCTTCCGTCCGAAGAGAGTGATGATTCAGTATCCATCGGATCAAGCGGAGTTTAAAGTTATGGGACACGAGTCTGGAGTTGGTGTAGTGTTATATGACCTTAGTGGGATAGACAAGCATACTTTTTTGTCTCCCACGGATAGCCCAATCTTTGTTGGTCTTATCATATCAAATGAAAACAGCATTTACACTAGATTGGGCCTTTTACATGGCGAGGTACCAATCGGATGCCAAACGAGGAACTTAGAGAACTTCCCATGTGGGCTAAAAGCAGCCTACAGCCCCTCCTCAACCCTGCCAAATGATTTTCTCGTCCAGTCAGGGCCTGTTCACATCATTACATCTGACAACAAAACAATTCCCTTGAGTCTTGTGGGATACAATTTCTCTTCACCTCATCAATCAGGTCAAGAATCAGAGCTGCTGAAAACACTTATCGCCCAAACAACCACTAACAATACGAGCTCGGCAAGCCAAACATCGAACGAAATTTGCTCCCTTCAGCCAAGCGCAGAAACCTTGATTGAATTAATTCAGGAAGACGCTTTTCCAAAGTCTTTTATGCGGTACTTGACAGACAAGCTACCATTATGGATACGACTTATGGTTAAGGACGACAACAATTTATTTGCCGCAGAAAACATTCGAGCCGACCTCATTCAAACCGCAAGCACGCAGGGTGACTACCTGAATTGCAAGTTTCCTCCTCTTGGTATCTCCACTGCAATGGTCACATATCGTCCGAGAGTCACTTTCACTATCTCCGCTGGGAGGAAACAAATCTCCTTGCCCAGCAAAGGCTGTTGTTTTGCAACCGACCCTTGTGGGAGTGCAGTGTTCCTGGCATTATCCGAAAATGCTGGTAAAGAAATCAGCAAAATGCCCGTTTTGAAGGACCTGACTGATAATGGCTGGGGTATCCTGTTGTCATCTTTTGGTTTCACCGCTCCAAAAAAATACCAAAGCTTGACGAACTCCTTGCCTTCCGATTCAATGGCTGAACACTTTTCAGATTTTCATTACAATATGTGGTGGGAAGGAACTACCAACATTTCCCTGAAAAACACAAGTGATTTTACCATCAATATGAAAATGAGGGGCCAAGTGTTCTCATTTGTAGAAGATTTGAACGGCGTGAGTATAAAGCCTTGTCTTGTAACTATTACAAAATAGCCGAGAGAATTCGATTTCATTTTAAGTTTATCAATACCCAGACACCCTGGGGACCACGGCAAACCATCCTTAGCTTTAATTTGGGGGAGCTATTCAATGCAACGTTATAAATCTTTGTGGGCGTGGAAGGAATTATATCGGACATCACAGAAGGATGAAGAAAACTTCATGGAGGGTTTCAACTTTATCTCAAGGTTGCAATTTCCTCGTAACAATTACATTATAACCCTTAGTCTCTATTTGTCTTGTAGTTACTCACCAGGTACTTTTCTCGGCCAATCAAGAGTATATTTCGTGGATCAGTCGAGTTTACCTTTTCTATGCAAGTTCTAGGCAAGAAATTTTCTCTGAAGTTTCAAGCCAACAGTGTGGTGGCAAAATCACAACTTGGAGGTAAATTTAACGATACTTTCACAGATTTTATTTTGACTGATTCAGTTTAATCCTGATGCCCCCTCTCCCCGTTATCGTTCCTTCCTTTCCTTTTTATCATTATTAGGATGGTTATTATGTAAACAGTTTGTTACCAGTACATTTTGTTTTCTTTACTGAGGACCACCTCTTCTCTCATCGGAATGCCATGTTCCCCAAGGCTTCACCTTTACCCTGGATCGAGCAGCCGAACCTTTCAAGAATAGCATTTTTTTAATCTTCCTTAAACCCAACAGAGGAATCAAATATTTGCAAATCTACTACTCTATTGACGGTGGAGAAGATATCGCAGCATTCGATCCTAACAACAACTTGAAATCTCTGGAATATCAAACGCAAGACATAAAGAAGGTCTTTTTAGATGTTCAGATATTTGTTCCTGAATTGCAAGAAACAGCGCAAAGGGGGGCTGCAATGATAGAAGAGACGCTCGTTAAAGTTATCAAGGCTCGAAATTTGCTCACCAAGTCTTCAGATCTCTTGAAACTAAAAAAACTGGTTGCAGAGATTGACAACGATCTTGACAAAATATCAAGAGTCCTTCATCTTTTCATAGCTAGGTCACAAGCGTTCAGGAATCGTTCAAAGGTTGAAAATGCCATCAGTCGCCTCCTTAAACTAAAGTCAGACCTTCCAACGACCATCTCTCTGGTATTCACTCAGTCGTCCATTCAGCAATCCTTTGCTGGTGTTCGTTTTGCCCTTGTGGCACAGATTTGTCACAAAAGACTCTGTTTTACCAACATTAATTGTACTGTATGGTCCCTGACTGACAACTACTGTTTTACCAACAGTTCTGGCACAGACAAAAGTATAATCATTATGGGAACTGCCTTGAGAGACACACCCCTTGGTAGTGCAATAACTTTCCCTGCTTGGAGACCGCTGAGAATGCTAATAAGCCGCAAAAATGAGCCACTCGAGACTACATTTGAGTGTTTCGTTCGATTATTGGGACTGACCAAAACCACTAACATACGATTGGTGGGACATGAGCTCTTCTTTTCCATCTCGGGACCACTTTTTGGAACATTCGAGACGCTTTTGAATGTAACAGCTGACCTTGAAAACGTTGCGGACTGGAAATCCCTGGTGTTTGAAGTGAAGGGCACCATGAGAAGGTCATCAGGTCTTCATGTGATGCTGGAAGGTACGATTGCCAACGAGACTACCCTTGCAGCCAAGGAAGCAACCCGAAGGTTGGGGAAGGCGAAGGCAGCGTTCAGTGCTGCAAAGATGAAAGCAGATTCAGCCAGGAAATTTCTTAGAGAAAAACAGATGATCACCGAACAGCTGAGAAGAAAAAAAGAAAAAGCTGCAGAGGATCTTCGTGTGGCACGTCTGCAATATAAATTAGCAAAAGTGCGTTTCAACAACATGGTCAACCTCAATCGACATCTTCTAAATCCTATATGTGAAATAAGAGAGTGTAACTACACTTGTTTGAACGGCTGTGTTTACCCTGACCTCTGCCAGGACCCGATAAACATAACTTATCTTAATCGATACTGTGCAACAGTTGACAAACCAATGACAGTAAAAGTTGTGGAAAGCAGCACTAGAAAACGCAGTTTTAGTGTGCAGACGTATCATACCGTGTATACTGGAAACTGTAAATCTGGGGTCTCCTTCAAAAAAATAATGGATTATGCTAGGAGGGAAGCTCAAGTTGGGAAATTTGATGGGTGGATTATTGGAAATGCGTTTGGATCCATAGCAACGAAAGTCTCAAAGGTTATTGGAGGATTGGCTGGTGCGATCGGTGGAGATGTTGTTGGACATTTCAGCAAGAAAATATTTGGCTGTTCTGAGACTTACAAGACAGTTCTTGGTAAACCGCGGCTTGTAGAGTACGAACAGAAAAGTTTCGAAGTAAAAGCTGTAGTCAAGATAATCAAGGAAATTGAGTGCTCAGGCCAAGAAGAGAAAACAAAACCCGGTGGATTTGGTCCTCCTTACCCTTGCTGTAAGCCATATGGATGCCAAACCAAAGTCATTGATCCCCTTTGTGTCAAACACAACGAAGAATGTCTTATTTCTATGACTGAGCTTAAATTTACGCTTGATGCCTTGAATGAAACTTTTCAGTATGCCTCTCTGAATTTTGAGGAATCCGTTGACAAGGTTAAAAAGGCTACAACTGTTTACGAGAAAGCGAGAATTCATCATGAAGTGGCACTTGATGAGCTGCACAAAGTAAAATCTTACACGGAGCAGAGCATATCAGCGTTAGAAATTGTGAATGCTTCTATGATTCATGTCCGCCGAGTCGTTGACTTTGGATTGAAGATATCCCAAGCTATGAATGCCACTAATTCGTATGGTAATAAAACTGTAGATGTTGGAGACCTTAGGTTTTCCTTAACCACGGCATCAGAAGATACAAAAAAGATGCTTTTTCAATGCAATGTTAGCTCTGCCAATAAACAATCAACGTTGGTCTCTTTTGTAGTTGACTTCGATCAAGTCGAACGCTCAATCAATTTTGCCTCTAAGACGATCCTTAGCGAGTTTTTTGGTGGGAAGAAGCGGATGGCTCCGGAAGAACAGAGTCACTTTGAGAATTCCACAAACGTAAATGCTTTACATATAAGTTTCACGGATTACCCTCATGCATGCCAGTTTGCCAATTCAACACATCTGTTCTTGATCTCCATTCTTCGCCCACTGGAAAACCTAATTTCAGCCGCTAAAGGACTGGATGAAGAGCTATCTTCCGGATTCCAAGACCTTGACAGAATGACACACTTTGTTTATGGCAGCCGCTCATCGTCCAATTCGTCGAGTACTTCCAACATTTCCAACAGTTCCTCAAGAAGTCCAAACAGTTCGTTCGTCTCAGACTACCTAGAGATGATAGAACTCCTCAAAAATGAGAGCACTCAGGTTCGAAATGACTCTTCACAGTCATGGAATGAAACTTTTGAGGCTTGGAGGGCATTCCTCGAGGTATTCACCCATAAAAGCGGATTTCAGGAATGTTCAGGTGCCATTGACTGCATCGAATATTCTTTCGAAGCGTTAAGGGAATTTTACGAGTTTGAAAGCAGTCCGCAAGCAATGACGATAAAAGACGCACTTTCTAAGCTGAAAGACTTGATTATAGCATTAACTTATAAAGTGTTAACAATGCCAGAAACTGAAAACACGCTCCAACAAGCTGTTTTATTGCTGAATGAGACCCGCGACGATTCCGTTTTGTGTGGGGGGACACCGTACATTACCTCTTCACCTCAAAAGGAAATTATCGTCCTGAATGGAGAAAGTTTATCGTTACGTTGCACTGCTGAAAGTGAGGCTGAGATAAAGTATGCTTGGATGAGGAATGACAAGCTTGTTGACGAATCACTGGATGGAACTTTCTATGTGCGCGCTATCAGCAAGCAACACGAAGGTGCTTATGTCTGTGTCGCTTCAAATAATAAAGGCAGTTCATCGTCTAACGTAACGATTATCAAAGTTCATAACAAGCCCAGTATCACCCTACATCCACAGCCACAAAGAGTCGTTGTTGACGATGAAATGCCCGCGACATTCATTTGCAACGCAACGGGTCAACCTGCGCCTACTTTTCAATGGTTCTTCATATCCATCAATTCGTCTGTTGTCAAAATTAACGAGACGAGACCCGTTTTACACATGCCTGGTCCTCGCCGACATCAAGAAGGTTATTACTACTGTGAGGCATCCAACGAGCATGGTGTGGCAATCAGTCAGAAGACCCGGCTTGACGTACTAGGCTACTCTGTGGGACTTCCCAGGCTGCTTTTCGCCCTGAATATCTCATCTTCCTGCTGGGAGGTATCAAATACCTCCAGCAATTCCGTGCACAAAGCTCTGTCATGCAATTCCGGCAAAGAAGTTTTGCCGTCATCAGAAAACGAGACCTTAACTGATGACATTCGTCGTTCCCTAGCAAGATCACTTAATGCATTCATCAAGCTGATCTCCGAGTTTGAGTACAGCTCAAGAAATAATTACACCGCCACCATTGCATTTATCTTAGATATTGATAAAGAAGCTTGGAAACAATCAAACTTTACTTGTCATATGGAAATAGTTGAAGCCATTGCTGATATTCGCGCCAATCTGATTGAAAAAGTGGAACAGTTCAATTCTAGCATGCTGAACAGGACTTTTGAGGTACCTTGGAACAACACCGTTGTTTATGGAGATCCTGGAAGCCTTCTTGTTTACCCTCTGTCTCCGGAATGTCCCCCCGGACAGGCCCTCGATGGAAATGGATACATTTGTGGTAAGCATAGCGTCAACTTTAACCCATTTCTAATTGGCTCGAAATTATAGCAAGGGACAAAGTTGGTAAAAGTTCTGCCTATACCTCGTTCCAAACATTACAGCCCTGTCTTTGACTGCTAACATTTGAGGCCGACGTTGACGGACCTGAACTTATAGCTAACTGATCGTGTCAAAAGCCCCTCTGATGTATTTGCAAACGCTTTAGTCCTATTTTACTTGCCTACACCTCTATGCTTAACGAGTTAGCCATAAAATTCAGTTAATAAAGAATTTCTTATTTGTCTGATCTTTTTTCTCTCCAAACATACTGTGTCTTTATCTCAGCAAACTGTCCTGCTGGCTCATCATATGTAGAGGAGAATGAAACATGCGCAGAATGTCCGTTCGGAACTTACCAACCCGTGCAAGGACAATCAAGATGTATTCCCTGCGGCACAAACCTCACCACCGCCTTTAATGGAACAGTGGAAGAGTCAGACTGTATTGGTAAAGTCAAGTATATTTTTCTTGGCTCGGTTTTATCTCGGGTGACATTCTTGTTTTCGTATAGCAAAAGACTTTCGGATTGAAGTATTCTAGAAAGTTTAATATATTGTATTAACTTCAGTCAATGGAAAAATGCCTGTGGTTGTCTTCACTGATTCATAATAGACACCATAAATGTTAAAAATGTCTGAACATTAATGAATTTTTTTCGAAGCTTAAAGAGAAATGAAGTATGATGACAAAAATTTAGGAAAAAGTCAAAATCAACCTTTAGAGATTACTAGAGTTATTTGTGATATCAATCTCTCGTAAATACGTTTTAACTATCTCCAGTTGTTTTTTCATCAAAATAGGACCAAAATGCCCTAACCTGTTTTTTGTATACCACGTTTTCTATCACATTTTCTTCATACTTCGATCGCCTCCTTTCCAACAAGAGTACACAACAGGAACTTACTTTTGATACTCTGAGTTAAAGGTACCATTAATATCACATTTTTCTCTTTATCCGGTGCCCCTTCAGCTGATTGTCCAGCTGGTTCATACAGTACAAAGAACAAAACATGCTCTTTTTGTCCGCTTGGCATGTACCAACCATCCCGAGGGAAGTCAGTTTGTATTGCTTGCGGTAAAAACCTAACAACAATTACCAATGGAACTGTGGAAGAAATACACTGTATAAGTAAGTTATCATTTGTCACAAATTTGAGTTCAAATGGAGAGGGATTGAAGCTATAATTTCTGGCCACAAAACGTAAGCAAATCGGCCGGCATATAAACGACTTCTTCCTTTTATGTTACTTTTTGGCGGGAGAGGATGAAGGCCTCTCTTGGTTTTGTGTTGTACCTTACCAGCCCCTAATGCAGGAAAACGTAAAACGATCAAATCACGATTGGTTTTAGTCTTAGATTTAATTGATTCATAGGAAGTGCAGGTTTTCTAGAAAAGTCTAAAAGCGTGGTAAGACAAAGCCGAAGCAATTCTCGTTACTTTTGATATTAATCTCAAAAATTACTCCAAAAACTGAGCCTGTTCAACAGAAGAAACGACGACAAATCATAGGAGAAAGTGAAGATTGTTTTCCCAGCTATGCAGTAACTTAGTTATTTTTCCATATTCGTTTTTGTCGACCCTTCCGAGTCTTAAGAAAACCGTGAAAACTGCTACGAGTGTCTCGGAGAACTTACCGCGAACCCTTCACACCCTAACATCAATATGCATATTCTCCATACTGTTCTCCATAGATTTCCAAAGGGGCTGGCAAGGAGAATTTGTGTTACAGTCAGAGCTGCTTTAGTTGGTGATCATCTTCTCTATTCTCATAACTTTCATATTTGATTCAGGGGTGACACAGTGAGGAGAAATCAGATGCGAGTCACTCTTAAGGGCTAAAATATGTTTAACTATTCTTTACGCAGCGAACTGTCCTGCTGGCTCGTACAGTTCTGTGAACCGGACATGCGCTCTTTGTCCGCTTGGTTCTTACCAGCCGTCTGTTGGTCAGATGGATTGCCTTCCCTGTGGACAAGGTTTCACCACAGCCTCGCCAGGAGCTGTCAGTGAATCGCAGTGTGAAGGTGGGCTATTGCTGTCTGCTACAACATTTATGACTAGTTTTCAGACTGCAGTGCAAGCCTACCTTGTTGGTAAAATCATTTAAAATTTTAACGTGAACAAGATTGTTAACTTAGTGTGTATTTTTACTTTGAAAATGACAGAGATTCAAAAGCCAGTTACTGAAGACAAGACAACCATTTCTACATTAACAACAACATCGCGAAATGTTGAAATGAAGGTAGGTAGATTTTCCTATTTTTGGATTCGCAAGAAAACAAGAATTAAAAATAATCTGGCATTTATGGCAAACAATATTCTAAATGTTCTCAGTTAAGCTGAGATGTTGAAACTTTACGATAGCGAAAGGTGAGCTGGCTAACAAGGACAGGTTAATTTGGAAGCTGCTTGTAACAAGTGCCTTGTATCTGTTTGTCGCGCCATTGGGTACTTGCCAATAGGCTCCTCTTCTCGTCTTTCACTTCTTTTGTCAGACAAGTACCAACGAACAGCTTACAACTAAGACCCCAGGGGAGACTAAAGAGCAGGAAAAGGCTGATGAGTTGTCTTGGAAACTTCCCGTCATCATTAGTGCTTCATTACTTGTGGTGCTAGGTAGGTCAAGTACATTCCTAAACGTGTTTTACTTTATTTTTAACTGATACCTGAATAATTGACTAGCAAAACACTTTTTCAACTTATAACAACCGCGCCTTGAAGTTCCTAACTCATTTGGCGCTTGTGCATGCGAAAGAAAACGTAAGCAAGCAAGGCTCCTAAAACCGAAACATAACTTGTGTGAATTTTTGCTGATAAAATCTTACCTTCTTTTCAGCAATCAGTGATATTCAGCCAAGAGAAAATAATGTCCCATTATTTTCTCTTGTACTTAGCCGAATTTGATTTTTGAAAGTTGGACCGCGAATTTCTGGTGTCTATCCATTACTTCTACGGTAAACCTTGATACACGGTTAACCCGTTTTACTTTTGTTTCGATTCTGACTCGTGCCGTGTTTTAATCAATGCTAGGTGCCATACTTTTGGTATTATTCATCTTTAAAAGACGTAGAGCGAGTAAGGATGATTCAAAACCTAACATAGAACCAGCACGGACGGCACAGTTTGATAATCCAGTCTACCTGGGTGACCCAAACCTCCGAATTGTAAAACCGTTTGACAATCCACTCTACGGAGTCGTCGAACAAGAGCCACAAAAACGAGCAGAAGATAACGAATATTCATTGGTGGACGAGCCAATGCTGGATGCATCTAGTGAAGATGGTCCTGAAGGACTTAACTAAGACGTTATGGACTTTAAAACCAAGGATTCTACAAAGGACTTTGAAAAAAACACTTTAACCTTTACAAACCCAGGTTTTCAGTGAGGCAGCGACGGTTTATTGTGTTTGATCAAGAAATCATATTATCTCTTGCTTTGGTGATTTATACATTTTGAATTTGACTTCAAATTTTCCGCTTTAATCGGAACAAATTTTCAAGTGTGCTTTGTCTAAGAGAAAGGAAAGGTAAAGTTTAGAGGAAGGGGTGGGTAGAATTCTTGATAGGCGTAAGAAAAGGATGCCATAATATGGGAGTCCCCCCTTCCCTCTACATTGTAGAATTTCGTAGTAAGCCCCCCCCCTTTCCAACACCTTTTTTTGATATTTCGTTAATGAGTATAAGTTCAACAATACCTTAATCAATAACAAATCCCTCAGTCAAAATGCTTCATTCTGCATCGTGCAATCCGTCAATATCTCTTGCGAGGATGACTTAGGGGTCGTTGTTACTTGACAAACCTTGTAAAGAAATATTTTTACTTGTTTTGACATTAATAATCTTTTTAATTTTTTTCCAGTCAGGTTCAGCTTTTTGCTGAGTTATTACTTTTCCGGGTACTTTAAGAGAAAACCGATAAGGCATGCTTTCATCTATGATATTAAAGTAAAATTGTTTAATTGTTACGTGAAATCTCCTCCTTACCTTTGCTGCGAATCTTCGAGGTGAAACATGGTCATCGAGTAGTGATGCTAGGAAACTAAATTTTTTATTGTATGGTGTTGAGTCTGTAAATTACGACGTCAACTGTGCTTTTTTCGCGAAGTACAAAGTTTTAGAATTAACACTAATCGCTTTTCTGAGGCCATTATTTGATTGTTTAATTAATATATTCCTAGCTTAGTAAGTTTAACTCGTTGTTCTTGCAACTTGTGTGTGTTGTTTATATGTGTGTCTGAATAAATTGATTTTATATTTGTAATATAGTAATCCCCCTCTTTAAGACCAGGTGATTTTGGGGCAAACAATGATAAATATGTTTAAATAAGAAAAAAAATTGAAAAACATTTTTTTAAGAAAAATTAAAATTGCAATAATTCAGTGGTTTTCGTAGAGCACTCAGTGGATCTTTGGAGAATTCTTTGAACATATTTATGAAAAGTTTCACATGCATCTTGTGCGTTAAACTCGTTTCCCGCGGGTGTCCATTTCAAATTAGCTTGTCATAAGTAGAGCTCTATCCAGAAATTTGAACGCGGATAATTTGATGCAATTCAGGAGCTAACGGCCTTAGTTTAAAGTAAATTTCGGGGTTTGAGAAATCCACCAAGAGCACTAAGAAACGATCTTTCCCTTCGCAAAGTCGGCCGTATTATGTACGAGGTGCCAGCTCGGAGGTCTGCGACCGCAAGAGATTTGCGACTGATAATTGGATCTCTGACGTTCTTGCACTTTGGTCACATTCGATAGCATCATGTTAACACTGTGGCATGACAGTTTGTTTTCATAGTGTTCAAAAGAAAGGTTGATAAAATAGATTTTTCCGAATATAAACTTCTCGGACCCGGCTGGAATTCTCATTAAAAGCGATCTATGCATTGGCAATTGAATGCACTTGGACCTGCATGCACGCAACGTACCAAAAAAGGCAATTTGACGGGCAATGAATCAATCGTAAAGTTTATGGATCAGAAATTTCTCAGCTGGTCAGAATTCCAGTTAATGGAATTAAATTGTCGGAACGAGGTGAAGACAACTTGCAAGATGAAAAAATGGAAAAAAAAAAGGGTATTGCAGAGGAAAACATCAACAACCACTCCAAATCCAGGGAAAATGCAATTGGCTCGAAGGAAATCTGAATTGGTAGAACGTAGATCGACATTTTGAAAACAAAGTGTTCAGGCTAAATTCTAAAATTTGTGGAATTTTTTATTATGTAGATTACGATTAAGGTCCCTGTTATGTTGGATTTAAAGCTTTCGGAGTAAAAGTTATGCGGCTCGCCATATCATGTTACTAATTGCATTGCCTCTAAACTATGTTCGCTCCGCTCAGTTGACACATACTAAGTGCAAACAAGTGTGCTGAAAGCATAACTACTCTCCCAAACGCGTGTTGTTCTTCACAAGCCTCAACAAGGTAAGTTTGCAGGATCAGGGAGAAAGTATTAGATTTCTAAGTGTCCCATTCGCCGAGCTGCATGAACTTCGGTTACGTGCTTTATTTTGAGGCAGGCATTACATAACAATCATAATGTATCAAAAAAAGCGGTAATAATTTCTGTTAAGGTCGATCTGCACGCAGTATTCTGTTTGTTCTGTTGCTTATAAAAACGCGAAAATTATTTCCCAGCAGAAATTTCATTCACATAGAATGGCAAAAATCTGTTCTTACGCAAAAAAAAGTCTTCATTCGGCAAATTTAATACACTACAGCAACATTTCTCGTGGAATTTCGCATTTACTATCTGATTTATTTATTTCAAGCAAAGATTCATTGAACTATCCCAAAAGCAGTCAAGAATGAAGAATAATCATAACAATCAGACATCTTGCTTACTGAAAATTTAGTTACATCAACAATGATTTCTTGGTGAAGACGATTTCGTCTTTAGAATGAGCTAAGTTAAATTATGAGAGAGCAGTTGTTGCGGATGAGAACATAACCACTGAACGTGGTTGTTTGCCGAGATGATTTTTATGCCATGGCCATACCTTCTGAAAAAAATTCTTATACCTCTCGATCAGCTTGACGTTATAGTTTCGCAGCAATAAATGGCAAAGAAGACGCAAAAAATAGAGTAAGCAATACATTTCGAAGTTAAGTAGAGTGCTTGATGACTCATGAAGGTCTGTAAATCAAACAGCATTTTCACTGACTAGATTCTAGATCATACGCTTCGTTGTCGCATAAAAACAGTCCCTATACGTGAGATAAAGGAAGAAACAAAGCCAGAAAAACAAAAGCTGACAAAAAATAAACAATGAAAATATTGTGAGTTGCCAAGGAAATCATCAGTCACCAAACCCGTCCTATTTACAATTTAGAACTAATATTTAACACTTTTTTAAGAAATTAATGGTCACCAACTTACTGGCACACAACATGGAGCACACAATGTATTTTACAGCAGCTCTATGCATTTTGAAAAATGAATGCAAATTTCAATTTCCAAGTATGTGATCTGTAATCAATGTTCATCTCTTTATTGTGAATCATTTTTGTTTGCCCTGTTAGGTTTATTTTTATCAATTGACGTCATCGATCAGGAGGCACCTTTGGATTTAGCTGCTATCGTGATTCACACATGAGTGAAGAGGGTTTGGTTTCAAGTCTCGAAGAGTACTCTGATGTTGTTTAGAAAGACCAGATCACCAGATCGATGGGTGAGAAATAATTCTCTACAGGATTTGCTTTGAAAAGCAGTACGATCTTGCTGATTGCGTCAATTCGTTATCATTGCTTTCCGAGAAGAGAAAATGATTCCTAGAAAATTGAACAACGTTAAACGTTGCTATTTTCGAGTTCGAGAAATCATTCACCTAGAAACTAGCGCATAAATATGCAAGGAAGCTTTCTCGAAGTTACAACATGCAGAGATTTAAGAAATCTCTATCATGGCTATTTTTTGCAATGGTTTAGAATAGGATAGAATTCGAGCAAGAGGACATCACACTATTCGTAATGTAGTTGCACTTTTTCCTCTTTACCTTGCGCATGCTCTTTGTTGGGCCTCACTTCATTGTTGTTTAATAATAGGGACTTCTCATTAAGTCTGCCCATTCCGGCTGTGGATTCGTTAGTAAGGGCACTAGCGAAGGCCACAATCTCTACTGCACCACTATGTTTCCCAAGTTATTTTCTGTCTTGTGCTTGGTTACATGCTTCACGAGAACGAGGCAAACTGTTATCAACCCATCAAATCTCAACGAATATGGGTAAGTAGACAGACATTTATAACGTAGTGTGGCGTCTACATGAATATTCAATATTTTGTTTATTGCGTTTGCAAACCATTACGTTTCTTCAGCACTCATTTCTTGTAAGTAAAGTTTTGGAATCTTGGAGGGGCGATAGGAAGGCAGATAGACACAGACGTGGGGTTTAATAAGTCAAGGTGGAGGTCTGGAAAGATTCTCATGAAACTTCCGGCCTTCGCATTTCGCACGGCTCTTTAGACAAAGAATTGTTGTGTACAGGAGATGAAAAAGAAAAAACGAAATACAAAAGCAAAAGCAAATGTTGTCGAGGTCTAAAGCGCAAAGAGGATCTTAACAGAAAACAAAAATAGTTCACGAGCTTTCAAACATAAATTATGGGGCGAAGATGCAAAAGCAAGCGACATTTCCGGCTACGCTTTAACTGAAAGTAGCTGTAGGGTTTACCCTTATTAAGATGCAGAAAAATCTCGAACCATTGAACTTACTTTCACCTCAGCCGTAAGCTTACAGTGAAACTTGAAAAACATCATATCTTTTCCATTTTCGTTTAAAGTACATATAGTTATCAATACTTTATGTAGCCGATTCTGCTAAAGATGCGAGTAAAACCGAAATTTGTTGTCACAAAACATAATTAGGTGGGGGCTGTTTAGGCTCGACTGTAATAGATCAGAAAGATATGTTGAATGCAGTTTATTCGAAATACGTACTTTGGTTTCGTCGATATAATGGCTTCCTCATCAGATTGTATTCGAGGGATTCTCAGAAAGTGAACATCATTTTCTGAGAACTTTATTAGCTTGTAGGTAGGTATCAAATAAAATCTTGAGCAAACGAAGAGAGCATAATGCTTTTGTTATTATGGATTAACTTAGAATGGCTATGTCTATAGTGGAGGGCATAGAGTGTTTGTGTCAACTTTAAACTCGTCTTACTTAATTAAAGAGCACCCAAGCATGTCGGAAGCCTCAGGCCTCTTTCACGAAATTATCTCGAACTTTTCAACTTTTTGGTTTTCTAATTCATCTCTTTTCTAATGGCAACTGAGCTTGATAGATCCTTACGTTCACAATATTTGCCTT